TGTCCGACCAGCTCCTATTGGTTGTCCGACCAGCTCCTATTGGTTGTCCGACCAGCTCCTATTGGTTGTCCGACCAGCTCCTATTTGTTGTCCGACCAGCTCCGATTGGATGTCCGTCCAGCTCCGATTGGATGTCCGTCCAGCTCCTATTGATTGTCCGACCAGCTCCGATTGGTTGTCCGACCAGCTCCTATTGGTTGCTTCGTCTTCTATATAGAAGGGATAATACTCCAAGTCAATAAAACAAATTGGAAATCGTCTTTGCGAGTATAATTGATGCAGTGCTACCTTTTATCTTCTCGCGCTTCTTTATTAGTAGAAATTGTATACCTTCTTTTCGCTTCCAGGTGAAATATTATCGGTTCTCGATTTCCTGGAGTCGAGTTCTTCCAGACGGGACAGAGGCTTCCCTGAATCGCGCTGGAATCAAATACTACAAGAACCTGGTGACAGAGCTGAAAGCTAATGGGATCGAGCCGATGGTGACTCTGTACCACTGGGACCTGCCCCAAGCCCTCCACGACAGTATGGGGGGCTGGCAGAACGCCACAATTGTGCAGTACTTTGGTGCCTATGCTAGGGTCATGTTCCGGGAACTCGGAGACCAGGTATGTCACCATGTCGTTACTATGTAGCCACGGCAGGGTACAATCTGATTATTTTCGTAAGCGCGAGATTTCAATGCCGTGCAAAAGAGATAGTTTTAAATAATTTATATGCGATGTCAACGAGTGGAAGATTTTTTTGCAATTCAACATCTTTGACACACATTGGCTGGAGCAATTAATCATTTTCTATAAAACGTAAGTTCCATACCTATAGTAAGTCACTATGAGACTTGTGTTTTCAGGTGAAATTCTGGATCACTTTGAACGAGCCATGGGTAGTCGCTTGGCTTGGATACGGTTCTGGTGTCAATGCCCCGGGGATCAAAGAGCCCGCTACTGCCCCGTACATAGTAGGGCATAACCAGATTCTCGCCCACGCGCAGGCCTTCCATATATACGACCAGGAGTTCAGGATATATCAGAAAGGTTTGTTTGTTTGTTTTCACTAATAAATAAACATTGAAATATTTTGATGGTAGTGTTATTCCCAAATGAAAAGAATTATATTTTTCCTATTTTGTCAAAAGTATTTGTTTTATATAGTTTTGGAGGTATTAATACATGTATATATAAACCTTTAAAGCTGCTCTGGTCACATACTGTATTTAGAACCTATTACATAAGTTACCTCCCCTTACCCACAAATATGTAAACAGAAAATATCATAACCTGAAGATCAACAAAGACAGTGATAATGATTTTGCTATAATAAGATAACACAATTATTTGCTAATGACGTCACCAACTGCTGACATACATTTTGCCAAATAGGACAGATCGGCATAACGATGAACAGCGATTGGTCGATTCCTAAAACTGATTCACAAGAGGATATTGACGCTGCTGAACGACAGATGCAATTTAGTCTCGGCTGGTTTGCCAATCCCATATTTGGTAATAATGGCGACTATCCGGATGCAATGAAACATATTTCACGACTTCCAGTTTTCACAGCCTTTCAAAAGCAACGCAACAATGGTAAGACACAAAAGAAAACTTCTCCATTATATGTCTTTTCTTTTCGAATAGAAAACGATAGACAACCGGCATATAGTTCTGCCCGAAACAACTACAGTTTGTTATTAGAAATTAACCGTGCATTGCATGCTTTGCTTCAAATATTGAAATAGAAATTTACCGCTCTGTAGACAAGTAAATGTTGTATTGCTCTTACAGTATGACTTCTTCAGCTAACACTCAAGGACAAATATGCGGTTGACATTTTGAACATCAGGCTGATAACATTTCCGTTCAACACGGGCCGATCGGACCATTTTTATACTGTTACCCTTATCAGCCCCCCAAAACACACCACACTTTTTGTACATTGCCCGTTTTACCCGAACGCTCCTGAGGGCTGGTACCGGAATCAAAGGCTGACAAGGAGTATTGTTTCAAAATTGTTTTATTTATAAACTGTATACCATATGTCCGGTACATATAACAAACCAAGAATATTCACAGTTTCTTAACATAACAAGCACGTTAGGTACGGATCATGTCTGATTTCGTGTAAATTTACTCCGCACGTTTTAATTCGCATAGTCGTATAATTCGAATTAGTTTAAACATGTTTTATTGTACAAATATGCAAATGGATTGGACAACAAGTAATGAGTCCTCTCCTCAATACATATGGTAAAAATAGTGTATACGTTTTTTGGGAAAGGGAAAACGATAGGGTAGAGAAGGAAAGGTGGGGTGGGAGGGGATGGGGGTGATGGAGGGAGGGGTGTTACCTAGAAAAGTAAACGTGTAAACTGTGAAATCGATCCGCATTTGAATAAATTATATATTATACAAATTTCATGACAAGCATCCTGGTAGAGTAATTTCAAAATGAACAGAATCAATGTAACAAAGAAATCAGGCAAAATAATGAAATGCATTTCATAGACACATATAACAACTTACACATAAATAAAAATAGAAAAGTAATTATAACTATCAAAACCTATTGCTGGATTTGATGTAGTGATGCACATGTCTAAAGATACTTATGTTGTTTTCTACCGAAAGTTGACTATGACCAAACAAAAGTAGTTCTAAATTAAAATCAACATGCAAGGCATTCACAATTTGGAGCAGGGTGTGTCTTTCGTTGTTAAAAAGTAAGCACTCACAAAAAAAGTGAAAGGCATTTTCACAGGGATTGCCGCAATAACAAACTGGACTATCAACCAGATTTACTCTAAAAAGATCCTATCTAAGTGGACTACACTGATGTCTAAGTTTAATGTGCAAAATGTTCAATTTACGTTCACCGAAACCTAAGTAGATTGGTGGAGGAGATTGTACATTTGAAGTTAACGAGTTTTTAAAAGAATGTAATGAAGTCAATGATCGTACTGAAAGGTCCAATGAATTCCAACCTCGAAGAATTGAAGGTATAAAAGATGAATTTGTTGGAGAAAGCATAAAAGGACGAATTATATAATCATCGTTGTAACGGTTATTTTCTGCAACAGAAGATGACAATAGAGAATTTAAATAGTCCGGAGTTAATTTGTTGTGCATTTAATACAAAAGTTTTTTTGCGTTTTCTTCTATTCGTAAGAGTTTCTAGACCAGTTTCAAAAAGTAAGTCTTCAATTCGGGCATATGAAGGAAGGCAAGTTATAATACGATAAGCTTCTCTTTCGGCTTTCTCTAACATTTCTGTTTTATAAGTTGTACAACCATCCCACAATTCACAAGCATATTCTAAAAATTGTAAAATAAATGATTTATAAATCTTTAAAAGATTATCTCGATTTAATAAGTATTTTAGTCTACGTAAGACGTTGACTTTTTTCATAATGAAGTATATATTGCACAAATATGATCCCCCCATTTTGCACTTGAATTAAAAATTACACCTAAATGTTTATGATGATCAGTAAAATCTAAAAATTCGCCATTAAATTAAAATTGTAAATCGTCATCAATTTCATCCAAGTTTGAAACAAAAATTACCCCCTAAAGAATGCACAAACCTCAACTGCAGGCGATACGTGAAACGAATTGCATGGAGCGGTCCATTTAAGAACTTTATCACACGAGTGAATAAAAGTCGCATGAGAGAAAGTATGTTACAAATTATCACATATTCAAAAATATTAGTTATTTGAACAGACATGTCAACAAAATAGTTATTCGCCAGTGCCAATGTTAGTTGATCTGGATCGCTGTTCCTGACCATGGTCCTTGACCTTCATTTTCGATACTGGCTTCGTCTGCTTCGCTTGTAAAAAGAACACGGCGATTAGTCCACGGACAGCTTATAGATTGTCAATTTAGTTGTTCAATTAAATAACTTTTTTCAAACTGTGTAATACATAAATGGGAAGTTTGTTTTGAACACAAACAGTAATTTAAAACTTATTTTGAAAGCTTTCGATAACGTTTGTTTCCTTTGCATATGACCGTGTCTTGAACCTAAACCGATAAGAACAATTCACTAAACGACAATGTGCCGAGTTAGTTAAGTCGTCCAAATATCACTCTAATACTGCAGGCAGTCAGGGGAACGGCTAATGTGTGTATTCCCTCCGCCCCAGTAGGTATTAAAATGGGTTCATAAAGATGACTCATATAGTGGCCCCCTCGCACCTGTTAATCGACTCGCAATATAAGTTTAACTGTTCGTGTTCAAAACAAACTGAGCGTTTATTTTTTATACCAAACTGTTGATTCTCATTCCGAGTGTGTAATAGATACTCTGATATCATTCCATTTATCACCCTTTGCCCCTTGTATCAGCCGTCGGGCCTGCGGTCCTTGTGTTGATATCAGGGTTCTGTAACGATAAAAGGTACGACGTAAAAATGGTCACAGACTTTGTAATAAACGCTTATTATTAACACAGCATATCACACCCGACATATTGAATCCTTTCACTTATATCAAACATACTGTAGTTGTCCATTTCAATACCATCACACAAATGTACATAAAACATCGCTGCTTGTTGGTTCTATGCATAGAGTTTTAACATGCCATTAAAATGAAATGTCTTGTTTGAAGATTTTTCTTCTAAGATTTATCTATATTGAATACATCCAATTGACTAAAGATATCCAATACCATGATTGTAAACCTGGGTCTGTGGTTCGGTTGAAGGGTCTTCTGATTTCTTTGGCCTAAATCACTACACAAGTAAATTGGTGTCAAACAAACCACGCGCTGTTGGTGATCCAGCCAGCTATATCACGGACAGTCAGACACGTTCTGAAGACGATCCAAGTTGGAGGGGGTAGGTACAAACAAGACACTAATGAAGAGCCTTAGTATGTTGTACTAAGTTTTCCTGGCTACTGCAAATCAGACAGAACCTTGTACAAACAGGATATCAATGGTATCAAACATACCGATAGAAACTTGACTTATCAACTTGTATTCGTTATGAATGACAAAAAACGTTGAACTGCAGTTAATATTTTGGTGGTGTTAATGTTTAAAATAACCCTTTAAAGATAATTTACTAATTTATTTTGATATCATTCAAGAAGAAATATGTTATCTGGTGTTCATTTGTTTTCAGGTCCACCTCCTCCTGGCTCAAGGTCAATCCCTCTGGAATGCGCGATATACTGAATTGGATCAAAAAGACGTACACAAACCCCGATGTTTATGTCACGGAGAATGGAATATCTGACTGTGGTACACTGCAAGATCAGGCAAGGCTGGATTACTACAACGGCTACGTCAACAACATGCTCAGAGGTCGGCTGTACTACTGCTTCAGTGATGTTTAGTCTTAAATTATATACTATTATCAAAAAAGAACAAGCACCTACATATACCAGAATAAAGCTTAACTCGTGTCCATGCAAAAGGGGAAACAACACGTAGGGAATACAGAACAGCATATCATAGGGAGTGTTCGATCAAACAACTAGTTAAATCATTTACTATATCTCACTTACAAGTTTTCACCCTTTCACCAGGAAAAAAATAAAGCAATGAGTCAGATCGATCACTATCATTCATCTTTATCAAACATTTACTACTTTATCAGAAAGTATGCCAACACAACTAACAATAATACTATTGCTTTGCTGTACAGCTATAACATTAGACGGGTGTATGGTGAAGGGATACGTAGCGTGGTCACTGTTGGACAACTTCGAGTGGGCGTCCGGATACACGGAGAAGTTCGGCCTGGTCAAAGTGAACTTTGAGCGTGACGAAAGGCCAAGAACCGTTAAGGACTCGGCCTTCTTCTTTGCTGACTTAGTAAAATACAACGGCTTCCCGTCCGACTGGGATACATCGTCATATATCATGGCAGGTAAGATGACCGACTTGCGGGTTTAAATGCATAGACCAATAGCTGTTCGACCATTCATGAAAACCGAGATGACAAAAATGAGATTATCCAACCTAAAACAAGTTATATATTTATGTATTCAATCCCACATTGATACCTTTTCTCACTCATTTTTGTATTAATTCATGTCTTTAATCTATAATTTTTATATTTAATCATACATTGATACTTGTTACACATATTTTGGCTTTAATTCATACATTTATGTGTTGAATGATACATTAATACGCTTTTCTCACTTATTTAGGTGTTAAATCTCATATCTATGTTGTTTGTTTAAAGAAACATTTTGCAAAAAATATTTGTTTAATCCCACGTTTTGGGTTTTAAGTTATAAACAAATTACATTTATCTTTTATGAACATTCGCTATTTTTTTTCAGATGTAGAAGAGCGGGATATTTTTCTTCAATCGTCATTCCCAGACGGGTTTGCGTGGGGCGCCGCTACAGCAGCCTACCAGGTAGAAGGGGCGTGGAACGAGGATGGTACGTCGATAATGCTGATATTGATCTGAAATAATATTGCATTTCGACATTTCAAATATTATTTGGTACAATTCAAACTTATATAAAAACCATGAAGATTCTGTTGACTTAAGATAGAAATCAATCTTTGTATGTTTTAAACACCCCTAATCAATCTTTGTTTATAGTAATTACAATCAGTGGAGACAGTTGAACATGGTACTTTGTAACTGTTGATTTCCTACCACAGCAAGCCGCATCAATCGCATTTTTAGAAGTCTTGTTTGTAGGGAAGGGACCGAGTATATGGGATGTGTTTTCCCACGCCGGAAGGATAGCACACCACGATACTGGAGACGTAGCCTGTGACAGTTACCACAAGTATAAAGAGGATGTACAGATGTTGAAACAACTCGGGGTAAATCGTCACCACTTTACGTAATCACATGAAACGTAATCCCTATTCGTGTGTATTCCTGAAGTCGTTAATTTGAAATGGCATCACTTATGCATCGACTTATGCATCGACTTATGTAATTTCAAGGTATGACAATGGAAAGCTATCGCTAACCACATACTATATTTCATGTAAAACGTGATCCATATTGTTATATACCTAGTACAGATAGAAGTCTCTACGTACATACAAGGTGAACATTTACGAAACTGTAAGGAGACGTTTACCAAATTTGCAGCCTATTTATTTCCTTACACATGTATCAGTTAGGTTTTTGAAATAATGATAACCGTTAACCTCTATACCGGAATTACATTCAACCCCCAAATCCCGTCAATGTGACGTCATTACAATACACATGACGTCTCCTCCCTAGGTATCCCACTACCGTTTCTCCATCTCCTGGTCCCGTATCATGGCGGACGGCACACCGGCAACTCTGAATCCAAAGGGAATTGCGTACTACAACAACCTGATAGACGAACTCCTTAGGAATGGGATTCAGCCCTTCGTGACGTTGTACCACTGGGATCTGCCTCAGGGTCTACAGGAGTTTGGGGGCTGGGAAAACGATACCATTGTAGATCACTTCAACACCTATGCTGAGATCTGCTTCGCAAACTTTGGACACAAGGTACACTGGCCTCTTTGCGTCAAGGTCACGGAATAATTCATACTGCTACCAGAGCCGTGAACGGTAGAATAAATTGTCATTACTTACAAGTTTGACTAATTAAATACATACCTGAATAGACAGTTCAACCGTTACGTTGAATTCGATTTTTTAGATAATGTTATGTGCTTAAACAAGATTAGTCTTCTGATAAGAATGTTATACCTGTTGTGAACATAAACAACATTTCAAGACAAACAAGGTATTCAAAAGATTTGAGCTTATAGTCACGAATATTGCTGTATCTATAAAAAAGAAATACTTTGTTTGATAGAAGTAAATATACAATATAAAGCTTTTTTTTACAGAGTTATATACAAAATAAAGTACTTTGTTTGACAGTGGTATATACAAAATAAAGTACTTTGTTTGACAGTGGTATATACAAGATAAACTACTTCGTTTGACAGTGGTATATACAAGATAAAGTACTTTGTTTGACAGTGGTATATACAAGATAATCAACTTTGTTTGACAGTGGTATATACAAGATAAACTACTTCGTTTGACAGTGGTATATTCAAAATAAACTACTTCGTTTGACAGTGGTATATGCAAAATAAAGTACTTTGTTTGACAGTGGTATATTTAAAATAAAGTGCTCTGTTTGACAGTGGTATATACAAGATAAATAACGTTGTTTGACAGTGGTATAAACAAAATAAACAACTTTGTTTGACAGTGGTATATACAAAAAAAACTACTTCGTTTGACAGTGGTATATACAAAATAAAGTACTTGTTTGACAATGGTATATACAAAATAAAGTACTTTGTTTGACAGTGTTATATACAAAATAAACTACTTCGTTTGACAGTGGTATATTCAAAATAAACTACTTCGTTTGACAGTGGTATATACAAGATAAAGTACTTTGTTTGACAGTGGTATATACAAGATAAACAACTTTGTTTGACAGTGGTATATACAAAAAAAACTACTTCGTTTGACAGTGGTATATACAAAATAAAGTACTTTGTTTGGCAGTGGTATATACAAAATAAAGTACTTTATTTGACAGTGGTATATACAAAATAAAGTACTTTATTTGACAGTGGTATATACAAAATAAAGTACTTTATTTGACAGTGGTATATACAAAATAAACTACTTCGGTTGACAGTGGTATATACAAAATAAACTACTTCGGTTGACAGTGGTATATACAAAATAAACTACTTCGTTTGACAGTAGTATATACAAAACAAATTACTTCGTTTGACAGTGGTTTATACAAAATAAACTACTTCGTTTGACAGTGGTATATGCAAAATAAAGTACTTTGTTTGACAGTGGTATATACAAAATAAGCTTCTTCGTTTAACAGTGGTATATACAAAATAAAGTACTTTGTTTGGCAGTGGTATATACAAAATAAAGTACTTTATTTGACAGTGGTATATACAAAATAAACTACTTCGGTTGACAGTGGTATATACAAAATAAACTACTTCGGTTGACAGTGGTATCTACAAAATAAACTACTTTGTTTGACAGTGGTATATACAAAATAAAGTATTTCGTTTGACAGTGGTATATACAAGATAAAGTACTTTGTTTGACAGTGGTATATACAAGATAAACTACTTCGTTTGACAGGGGTATATTCAAAATAAACTACTTCATTTGACAGTGGTATATTCAAAATAAGCTACTTCGTTTGACAGTGGTATATGCAAAATAAAGTACTTTGTTTGACAGTGGTATATTTAAAATAAAGTGCTCTGTTTGACAGTGGTATATACAAGATAAATAACGTTGTTTGACAGTGGTATAAACAAAATAAACAACTTTGTTTGACAGTGGTATACACAAAATAAAGTACCTAGTTTGACAGTGGTATATATAGAATAAAGTACTTTGTTTGACAGTGGTATATACAAGATAAACTACTTCGTTTGACAGTGGTATATACAAAATAAAGTACATTGTTTGACAGTGGTATATACAAAATAAACTACTTCGTTTGACAGTAGTATATACAAAACAAATTACTTCGTTTGACAGTGGTTTATACAAAATAAACTACTTCGTTTGACAGTGGTATATGCAAAATAAAGTACTTTGTTTGACAGTGGTATATACAAGATAATCAACTTTGTTTGACAGTGGTATATACAAGATAAACAACTTTGTTTGACAGTGGTATATACAAGATAAACTACTTCGTTTGACAGTGGTATATTCAAAATAAACTACTTCGTTTGACAGTGGTATATACAAGATAAAGTACTTTGTTTGACAGTGGTATATACAAGATAATCAACTTTGTTTGACAGTGGTATATACAAGATAAACAACTTTGTTTGACAGTGGTATATGCAAAATAAAGTACTTTGTTTGACAGTGGTATATACAAGATAATCAACTTTGTTTGACAGTGGTATATACAAGATAAACTACTTCGTTTGACAGTGGTATATTCAAAATAAACTACTTCGTTTGACAGTGGTATATTCAAAATAAACTACTTCGTTTGACAGTGGTATATGCAAAATAAAGTACTTTGTTTGACAGTGGTATATTTAAAATAAAGTGCTCTGTTTGACAGTGGTATATACAAGATAAATAACGTTGTTTGACAGTGGTATAAACAAAATAAACAACTTTGTTTGACAGTGGTATACACAAAATAAAGTACCTAGTTTGACAGTGGTATATATAGAATAAAGTACTTTGTTTGACAGTGGTATATACAAGATAAACTACTTCGTTTGACAGTGGTATATTCAAAATAAACTACTTCGTTTGACAGTGGTATATTCAAAATAAAGTACTTGGTTTGACAGTGATGTATACAAAATAAAGTACTTTGTTTGACAGTGGTATATTTAAAATAAAGTGCTCTGTTTGACAGTGGTATATACAAGATAAATAACGTTGTTTGACAGTGGTATAAACAAAATAAACAACTTTGTTTGACAGTGGTATATACAAGATAAACAACTTTGTTTGACAGTGGTATATACAAAATAAAGTCCTTTGTTTGACAGTGGTATATACAAAATAAAGTATTTCGTTTGACAGTGGTATATACAAGATAAAGTACTTTGTTTGACAGTGGTATATACAAGATAAACAACTTTGTTTGACAGTGGTATATACAAAATAAAGTATTTCGTTTGACAGTGGTATATACAAGATAAAGTACTTTGTTTGACAGTGGTATATACAAGATAATCAACTTTGTTTGACAGTGGTATATACAAGATAAACTACTTCGTTTGACAGTGGTATATACAAGATAAACAACTGTGTTTGACAGTGGTATATACAAAATAAAATACTTTGTTTGACAGTGGTATATACAAAATAAAGTATTTCGTTTGACAGTGGTATATACAAGATAAAGTACTTTGTTTGACAGTGGTATATACAAGATAAACTACTTCGTTTGACAGTGGTATATACAAGATAAAGTACTTTGTTTGACAGTGGTATATACAAGATAAACTACTTCGTTTGACAGTGGTATATACAAGATAAAGTACTTTGTTTGACAGTGGTATATACAAGATAATCAACTTTGTTTGACAGTGGTATATACAAGATAAACTACTTCGTTTGACAGTGGTATATTCAAAATAAACTACTTCGTTTGACAGTGGTATATTCAAAATAAAGTACTGTGTTTGACAGTGATGTATACAAAATAAAGTACTTTGTTTGACAGTGGTATATTTAAAATAAAGTGCTCTGTTTGACAGTGGTATATACAAGATAAATAACGTTGTTTGACAGTGGTATAAACAAAATAAACAACTTTGTTTGACAGTGGTATACACAAAATAAAGTACCTAGTTTGACAGTGGTATATATGGAATAAAGTACTTTGTTTGACAGTGGTATATACAAGATAATCAACTTTGTTTGACAGTGGTATATACAAGATAAACTACTTCGTTTGACAGTGGTATATACAAAATGAACTACTTCGTTTGACAGTGGTAGAACAAAATGAAGTTCTTTGTTTGACAGTGGTATCTACAAAATAAACTACTCCGTTTGACAGTGCTATATACAAAATAAAGTACTTTGTTTGACAGTGGTATATTTAAAATAAAGTGCTCTGTTTGACAGTGGTATATACAAGATAAATAACGTTGTTTGACAGTGGTATAAACAAAATAAACAACTTTGTTTGACAGTGGTATATACAAAAAAAACTACTTCGTTTGACAGTGGTATATACAAAATAAAGTACATTGTTTGACAGTGGTATATACAAAATAAACTACTTCGTTTGACAGTAA